CTGACTCCGAGCCGACCAGTCCTTGTTTTAGCTTCTTAATGCCGAGCGCCAGACAGGGTAACAACAAGTACAATCTTTAAACGTCTTTTTGTATGACGCGGCCCGGGATCGAACCCTGGACCTTCCGCTCTCCGGGCGGACGCTCTACCACAAGACCACGGAGGCGGTCTCCTGACTGTAATTAATTGATACGTTTCTCGGTCGAATTCACATGCGTCTGTGTCGAAGCTTGATGGTTTTAGAGTCTTAATAAATGTTCTTAGGTCTTGTCTTTGTTTGTTTGTTGTTTAACGCCGCACTCATCAACTTTAAAGCTATATGACGGCAGTCTGTACATAATCGAGTCATAACCAGACAATCCAGTAATTGATGTAATGAGCATTGGCCTACTCAATTGGGATACGATGACATGCATCAACCAAGTCAGCGACCTGACAACCCGATCCTGTTAGTCGCCTCTTACGACATTCAAGCAAAGTCGCCTTTTAGGGCAAGCATGGGTTGCTGAAGACCTATTCTACCCCGGATCTTCACGGGTATTGCCTTGTCTACTTTACTATCACCATCGCCTTGATGAACCACACCTGTGGCGGATACTGTTATTGTCACATCCAGTTACACTAGGTATGGGTATTGTTACCAGTGACAAAGTGTCTCAAGTAACAAAAAGGAAGGATCCAACTCATTTTCACTTTTAAGAATATTTAATTATCACAAAAACCTACAATTATTCAAAATTAACACAATTGCAAATACAATCTGGCAAACTAACATATAGGTGGCAAAGCAAAATAAGTGAATATTCAACGGGATACAGAAACTCTACCAATCGGACACAATCTCGATCCTGGTCACAAACATATTCAGATCACAGTTCCATTAGCCAACGACACATTGTGCATAAGCTCAGTTTTTCTCAAATAACAGCTGCACTTTCCTGTAGGGGCGGTGGGGTAGCCTAGTGGTTAAAGCGTTCGCTCGTCACGTCAGCATACTCTAGTGTATGTGGCTCATTATAAAAACATTTCTTCTTCTTCTTCTTCTTCTTCTGGATCGATCGGGTAGCCTAGTGGTTAAAGAGTTCGCTCGTCACGCCGAAGATCCCGGTTCGATTCCCCACATGGGTACAATGTGTGAAGCCCATTTCTGGTGTCCCCCGCCATGATATTGCTGGAATATTGCTAATAGCGGCGTAGAATTCACTCACTCACTCCGTTATCCTCTTTCTGACAAATCACCGACATGACCGAATGCATCACAAGATCCCACTGGTAGGAATGTCACAGACTGACATGACCGAATGCATCACAAGATCCCACTGGTAGGAGTGTCACAGACCGACATGACCGAATGCATCACAAGATCCCACTGGTAGGAATGTCACAGACCGACATGAGCGAATGCATCACAAGATCCCACTGGTAGGAATGTCACAGACCGACATGACCGAATACATCACAAGATCCCACTGGTAGGAATGTCACAGACTGAGATGACCGAATGCATCACAAGATCCCACTGGTAGGAATGTCACACACCGACATGACCGAATGCATCACAAGATCCCACTGGTAGGAATGTCACAGACCGACATGAGCGAATGCATCACAAGATCCCACTGGTTGGAATGTCACAGACCGACATGACCGAATGCATCACAATCCTACTGGTAGGAATGTCACAGACCGACATGACCGAATGCATCACAAGATCCCACTGGTAGGAATGTCACAGACCGACATGACCGAATGCATCACAAGATCCCACTGGTAGGAATGTCACAGACCGACATGACCGAATGCATCACAAGATCCCACTGGTAGGAATGTCACAGACTGACATGACCGAATGCATCACAAGATCCCACTGGTAGAAATGTCACAGACCGACATGGTCAATACATCACAAGATCCCACTGGTAGGAATGTCACAGACCGACATGAGCGAATGCATCACAAGATCCCACTGGTAGGAATGTCACAGACCGACATGACCGAATACATCACAAGATCCCACTGGTAGGAATGTCACAGACCGACATGACCGAATGCATCACAAGATCCCACTGATAGGAATGTCACAGACCGACATGACCGAATGCATCACAAGATCCCACTGATAGGAATGTCACACACCGACATGGTCAATACATCACAAGATCCCACTGGTAGGAATGTCACAGACCGACATGGTCAATACAGGGGCCTTGTAAGCCTGAGACGTCCGTCCTGGACCCGTCTCAGCTCTCATGAGCAACTCTCTCAACTATAACGCCCGGAAGTATGCACAACCTGACCCCTAGCTCTGTCACAAGTCCAAGCCTCTACAACAATAAACCATACTCAATGTGGCGAGCATACCAACCCATCACAGTGGCAAAGCTAATCAATCACAGGTCAACCTTTGGTCCACTATGACCACATTAACCTCTTTGGTTACAATACAGGATATAAATAATGTTCAAATATAATAATATCGCCACTGCGATCATGATCATGAAAATTAATAAAGTATGCATTGATTAGAGGTCAAATTGGTGAGATCAGCATCATCATCATCATCATCATCATCATCATCATCACGCTTGTAAGGAATGTTATGTTCGTGTCGTTACCCCAGTGAGGAAATATCCTAAGTACTCGTCTCCTTATAGCCTTGAACTGAATAGTGGGGTGTCGCTGTACCATTGTTATGTTACCAGCAAATATGATTGCCTATGTGATTGGAATAATCGTCATTATGTGTAAATAATCATGGATAGTAGAAATGGGATGCCCTAAAAGCATCGTAAGCCTCCATTATCCAAGTAACGGCCATCAGCATAGAAATCAAAGTAAAATGGGTCATTTATGAATATCCATACTGATGGAGGTGGAGGTGGACACAACAAGCATATTCAGTGTCTCATTTGGATCTGTTCATTGAAATTCAAAATAAGGGCAACCTCATTAACAAGCTGTGTGACATGATAGATGCATTCGTTTTTCCAATCGTGAATTTCCTCTTTAATGTCAAGCAAAACAGCTCCAGCGTCTGACATCTACATTTCTCAATGTACATTAGAACATTATATTTTTATAAAAGTTTATGACAGCCAATGCAGAGTTTTTCTGTCAAGGTTGTACGTTCAAAGGCCTAATAGTTAAGTCATTCCCGAAATTTTACGTTAGACATTCAGAGGCATTTAATAATATGGCATGCTGGAAGAAGAAGTGAGTGAATTTTACGCCGCTTTTAGCAATATTCCAGCAATATCACGGCGGGGGACACAAGAACTGGGCTTCACACATTGTACCCATGTCGTGAATCGAACCCGGGTCTTCGGCGTGACGAGCGAAAGCTTTAACCACTAGGCTACCCGACCGATCGAGAAGAAGAAGTGAGTGAGTGAGTACGGTTTTTACACCGCTTTTAGCTATATTCCAGCAATATCACGGCGGGGGACACCAGAACTGGGCTGCACACATTGTACCCATGTCGGGAATCGAACCCGGGTCTTCGGCGTGACGAGCGAAAACTTTAACCACTAGGCTACCCGACCGATCGAGAAGAAGAAGTGAGTGAGTGAGTACGGTTTTTACACCGCTTTTAGCTATATTCCAGCAATATCACGGCGGGGGACACCAGAACAGGGCTGCACACATTGTACCCATGTCGGGAATCGAACCCGGGTCTACGGCGTGACGAGCGAAAACTTTAACCACTAGGCTACCCGACCGATCCAGAAGAAGAAGAAATGTATTTATAATGAGCTACATACACTAGAGTATGCTGACAGCGCTACACCATTGCAGCGGTCAATGAATCAGTGTACTCTCGAATGCCATTCTCAGCTACCTGGGGAGTACACAACTAAAACTGCCTATACGTCGCTCGTAGGTTAACAGTTAACATCTCATCCTACCGGGTTTCCATTTAATCGTGGGTCAACAGAGGCATATAAAGTCATTTGCCTAGTGTGACACTACATGCAACAGGTGTTTCAGTGTGGGCATCAACTTCACATAGAGTGTTCACACCTTCTTAACCACAGGAAGTTAATTTCGAAATGAATTTTTTTTGAGTCTATGGTCCATTCATATAATTTTCATCACTATTCAAAACATCAACGCCAGAGAGTAATCGGTCTCGTATATCTACCGAAACAGATTCCATGGAGCGTAAAAGGCAAAACAGTGATGGAGATAAAATGAATGGATCACTGAAAATCAGTGATGACACTAGGTGTTCGCATAAAGGGTAAACATACCTTGCTCTACCGGTAGCACCCGCCAATCACATAATTCTATTTAAGAAATACTCATATTTGCTCTTACCCAAATAAAGCATTATGTTTTCAGTTGCGTATATTTATGGGATAGCTAAACTAAGCAATTATTAGATCATACTGTCCCTTGTGTTTGTTTATAGCCACAATCTCGTACATTGACGCAAATGAAGTATGGACTATGCGTAATATCTGTTCTCGTGATGTTCTTCGCCTTTTATCCAATGATGAAGTATAGATATCTCGATCAGTTTCTAAATATGTGATCATGAACACGCACATTTACCCGCCTACGCTGATCTACGCATCTACGTGAATTGAGCTGAGATGTTGTTTCTTGACGGGCCAATAATATGTTTAACATAAAAATTGTAAAACACCTGTTCTTGCAGATTAACCAACTAAAAATGCACGATTTGTTTTTGATAAATGCTTCATGTTTCATTGTTAAGAGTTGTACATGACGCACTGAAATCCGACACATTTCCCCGAAAAACGTCAACCAACGGTTTTACATTCTTGGAAAATGGGAGTAGAATGTCGTCATTTGCCCAGTGCTAACGTAATTGAATGCGATCCTGGATGAGTGGTTATACTCCAGTGGCTCTTTATGGCCTTGCTTCATTATGTTCAGCCACTTGTTCCCATTGGAAGAGCGCATGCAATTACCATTGTCACCCAAGGATCAATACTAGAGTAGGAGGGATTCTCCGGTTCCTGTCTGGCGTATATTCCACTCAGGTATGGGGAAGTTGCCACCCACAGCAGTAAATAATTCATAACTCAGGTAGACAGTAAATACAGGCTACAGCGGTCAATCTCACAGTTGTTCTCGCGTCAGGGTGTTTGCAGGCTTTCATCAACAACGCTGCTTTACTCTGCTGGAAACAAGTAAGAGACTTGGTTCATCACTCTAATCATTTATGCCTTTGACTTTTGATTGTCTACTTGGGGCGCGGTACTGTTTTGTCAATTTAATTCATATTACGACACTTTTCCATTCCATTGTTCAAAGTCATTGGATTTCTGTTTATTACTTTCACTCACTATAATAATGCACCCATGAAAAATATTGCAAAGCAGTTTTACGTTTTATCATATTCCTGCGTTCAGATTGTTTGGAGTTTGTAAACAAATCATGTTACCCGCACTGTACATTTCCATTTTCATTCTTGTGATCTTATTATTTGGATTACTTTTAAACACTTTTGTGCTCATGAAAGTGTATCCAGAAAATGTATTTTCAAAGTAATTTCTGTCTTCATTAATTTCTTAGAGCAACTTGTTTGAATTTATTGTCACCGGTGGGGCAGGATACGCTCACCTTTTCGCGAACTCTTAGTGATTCATTAAAAGCGACTACTGTTCGAGTCCGAATATATCAATAACATGTGTTTATGAATCACCATAAAAAACATAATCATGATATCAGGTGTTCGCGAAACGGTAAGCGTATCCTGCCCCATAGGTTGCACTCATCACAAATATAGGCGACAAAACCCTTTTCATATTCATAAGAAATTTCTGAAAGCATTGTCGTTTCCTCGATTCTGTCTGTACCATGAGTATGTGTTTATGGATCACTATCAAACAGTGATGATATCAGGCGTTCGCAAAAAGGTGAACGGATCACAAACACATGCAGAGGCTAGTCACATTTTCTACTGAAAAAAAACGGGAACATATGGTACAAGTCAAAAAAGGGAATTACATTGTGCATCATTTTAGATATTGATGCGATCCCGGATGACTGGTTATACTTAAGTTTGAGTTAAACGTCTTGGCCAATTTCCCAGTTTTGATTTTGCAAAAGCGGAAGCTATGTACTTTTTTTCATTTTCCAATATTTCAATCGGTTAATTTATTTTACAGACACAGCACCATGCAGTTTCGGCCCTCCCTCCAGGTCTGTGTTGTGTTTGCAACATTGGTATCATTGTCACAATCATTCCGCAGAGATGTCCACGAGGGGTCGGATCTTTTCAGCAGCCTGTCCTCAGTGGAAGCAAAACGGTCGACAATATTTGACAGGATGGGTCGATATTATGGGAAAAGAAGCTCAACGGAGATGGAGGGAATGAATGGTAAAATAAGGTAAGATCATGTAGACATAGAGTATTTAAAGTACAGTCGAACCCCGTTGTCTCGAACTCCTGGAGACTAGATAACTGGTTCGACCTCTCCGGGGTTTGACAAATCCTTATTACCGTCTGACCTAGCCATCAGACAACATAAGGCACAACATCGTGTATGTTATGTAAATGACATGTATATAATATTAACGGAAAGGTCCATTTCGACATATCCGGGTTAAAATAGTGATCAAGATATTGAGAGTTTGCCGGGACCGGGCTGTGAGTTCGACAAAACCGAGAATTCATCCGAGTTCACGACAACATGGTTCGGCTGTACATGTGTTTCAGTCGCGAGAAGCTCTTGGCTACCTATTCTTAGTGATTTACACACAAACGTCTGTTCCGTTGAGCAAAGCAGATTGTTACGTTGTCTATGAGACCATTTTGGTATTGTGTTGATTTGTATTCTCATTGATAACTATCAAACTCGTTATTTACGAATGAACTCTAGATCCCAAAAGAACAATACAATGTCGTAATAAAAATGCTTTAGAAATATAAATTCCTCAGCTTTGATTTCTTTCCGTTGAAGGAAACTTCTCTGTTTTGAACCGTCGCAGCCCAAGAGAGAATAATATGTCTTGAATCTCTGGCGAGCGCAAACCTTTCATTAAATAAACATCTATCAAAATATTTTCTATAACATTCCACGCATGGACGATCACTCAGTGTCATTTGTTTGTGATTCATGTCTTTGATGACGAACCGTACCAAGTTTGATTATATTGTTTTGTCTGACGGATAACACATTGGTGTACTGGTATGTAGGTTTAGCTTAAAGTTTCAAAAACAAGCAGTTGCTAGGTGCAGCAATACAAGCGACCTTAGAACAGTTCATTAGGTATTCTGAATGACTTTGCTGCTTTATGAATCAATTATCAACAGACGTTACCTTCCACGTGATCAACGTCATCGGCGGAGACAACAACGACGTGACGTATGACGCCCATGCAAAACCTACGTGTGTTTGTATCCATGTAACCCAGGGGGACAGGCCGTGGAACGCATTGGGTGGGCCTCGACCTGTTGTTCCTCAATCTTTGTCACTTTGAATCTTCTTTCAAAGCCGCAGTTTCCAATAATTCCGAGTTTTATTACACTGGCCTGTACGAAATCGAGCCTTTGTCAGGCAGACTAGTGGTCAATAGCATGATCAACAATCCCTGCCGTCGGTGTACGATGACACCCATACAGCCAAGCAAAAATATGATCGCCATCCTCGAGAACTTGGATAATGTGGACCACATTTTGTGTCCCATGTGTTCGTCATGCATATCGATGCATATGCATATCTTATGCACATACATCATGTCTACTTACTGCAAATACATATGTTTGGCATATCCAATATACAAAGTAACAACATTTTAAGCTATGCGACGAGTTCATGTACGTTATGCCTTTGTATTTAGCACTATAACTACTGTATTGTGCCGAGTGTCGGTGCAAACGGTTTCAAGTATTCTGCTACTATCTACAGGTAATTTGTGTGGCAAAATGTGTTCTTCTTTAAATGTAAGAGTCAAAAAGATGAAACACAGTTTTTCCATATTATGACCTCGCAGAATTGAAAGGCTGTACATGTATCTGCAGTTCAGCAAATTTCTAAACTTCCGAGATAATAAAAAAAAAATAATAATTTAATTTCTTTAAATTAAGCTTTAATTTTTTTCTTCATATCCGCAGAGTCCAAAGGAAAGAATAGTTTAGACCTCAATCTATGATGAAATTTTTTTTGGGGGCGGAGGTATATTTTGTCGACCTTTTTTCAAACGTTTGTCTTAAAGTTCCCTTCAAGCAAGGTTTGTAAGTGACACATACTGCCTTTTGATATTCCGCTAAAAGCTAAACCAAGGATGATCATGTGATTAACATATCCTATACGCACAGACACGTCCTGCGTTGCCTTATGATTACAAACCGTATAGGGGGATCTGTGTACATTATTTTAATTATTAAATTGCAGTTGTGTGACAGCTACGGCTCTTCTCTGTCATTTTCAAATATTAAAAGCTCATTTGACAAAAATAACTGAAGTTTGCAAAGGTTTTGCAAATTTATTATGATAAAAAACAAATTCAATGTTTTTATGTGCAAGGGTGTCCGTTTTAAATATGTCTATTTTGTTCGCATTGATGCGTTGTTTATCTAATATGTAGAAAGTTCATGTAATTTTATCTGTAATTTTATCCGTACAATTCCGACTGAAAATTGAAAATTTTCCAGGTGAAATGGTAGTGTTTTCTTAATATATATTTACAAGATTCGCCATGATAATGACTATTGAATTGTCAGAAGCGTGCCAGTTTGGGGTTCACATACTGGTTTGCGTCTTTTCTTTTACTGGTATGCCGTCCATGGCTATTATATCCGACTTTCTATGTTTTTCAAAATGAAATTGCTGTCTCTTTACATCACTCCACATAAACCAAGCATTACGACACGAATCTTGTGACGTACCATGGGTGGGCGGATTTTGTAAAGCGAAGAAATAGTTTTCGAAGGTCTAATTTGTTTTATTTCTTGAGGAAAAGTGTCAGATGACTTAAACGAGTGTAAATGAAACAAGGAAGATGGTCTAACTTAAAAACGAATACATAAGTCATTTAAACTTTAATACTATACAAGTACTTCGACCAAAAGTAGTCAATTACCACATCGGTTAGATGAGGTTCTCCTTCTATAGGCACACCTTTACATGCCATTGCTAATATTACTCTTAATGTTATAAATAGGCCTCTGTACACTACGGAAGAAATGCGGGAGCTGGTGTCTGGTTCTCCAAGACTTCTTGCAGGAATCATCAGAGGGTACATTGACCGAAATGGTAAGGTTCGCAAAATGACACATAGATCCGTGCTACACGATATATTGTTATAAAATAAGATATATTTCACAGATGTTTTATATATTCGTTTGGAAGCAGAATATCAAATATCATTGATAACCAAACACTGATACATTTGTTATGAGCCAGATTTATATTTCTCATACCTTTTCTTTACATCATGGCATCATGTTATTTAATATATTAAACAAATAATGAAACTGTGAAACAGAAATACTTTAATGATATACGTTGATGACTTAGGATGACATTTGATCAGATTGCATAGGCTTGATAGGTAAAACTATAACGAATAACGATTGAGATATATCGACATCCGATATGCCAGTGTTTAATGTATTGGAAATATTTCACATTTCATCTCTATAGAAGAACGCTATTAAAGCCATTATGCAGATGCTTCTATTAGGTTCAGACCTTTTAGGGAGCTGGTTTATTTTAGACAAAATACAATTGCAGACAGTGCTTCAAGACATATAATTTGTTATGCGGGAGAAGCCAAAGATTTTTATTTACCCACAGAACACTATCATTCTTAACATCCATTTAAGACGTTTATGTTTTTGTAAGACCTGAGGAAATATTTGCCCCTGTGTTTTCGGAAAGACGTTTTTAAGCCTTGGCTAGGCATTAAAAAGTTGGAAAAACATAAAGACATAAAACTGTTATAGATAGTAACTTGTTTATTGTTTGTAACGACGTTTCGGGGCTAGTTCTTGACCCTTCATCATCAGTATTCATCTGACGGAGAGGCAAGAAGTAGCCCTGAAACGTTTTACAAACAAAAAAGTAAAAAAGTTTAAAAAAATTATAGATGGATGGATGTCATCTATTTGATCAACAAATTAGCCTTATTGATTTGTCAGCATCACACCCAACCCCTTGGGTTTGACAAAATTTGTAAACGTCTTTGAGATGCGGTGGGTAGCCTAGTAGTGAAAGCGTTCCCTCGTTACCCCGAAGCCAAGGTTCGATTCCTTATTTGGGTACAATGTGGGAAGGCCATTTCTGGTGCCCATGTCGGGATGTTCCTGGTATATTCCTAAAAGCGGCGTAAAACCATACTTATTCACTCGAGCTGCGTCATTTGAGCTTTCCTCCCATAAAAATTGACAAGCCCTGATACATCTGAGACACTGTTAAAAGAAGAGTTAACGTAAGCTGATACTCTCAATCACTATCTGATTACTTTGCATGATTTAACAAATACGTTTCTTCTCAGGTGATGACTTGATCGACGAAGAAGAGATGGCGCAGCTGAAGAAGAGAATTCAGTACCAGTAGGATCGTGAAGCCTGTTTTGTTAGAACTGTTACATTGGGTAGAAACAGCACGATAACACTTATCTACAAACTATCACAGAATGGTGCTACGCATTTCAACAAATGACATCATGGATTCTTTGAGGATTTATATTGTATTTCGACCATCACATGCAAAGTATGCGTACAATGATGCCGTATTCATTCGTACAGACGGTGTTGTGAACACACCTTGAAGTCTTTCTTTTCTCCTATCATGCAAATAAATGACTATTTTCCTAATATATTGGTTTATTTGTCTATTTTGAATATACTCGTGGGTGATTTCAAATTTTAAAAATAAGTTTTTACATCAAAAATGAAAACGTATGATATATGCGGTAAAAACTAAGTTAACGTGATGTGTCGTTGGGGCCCCGAGGCTCGTCAAGCCAAATGCCCGGGGGCTCTCACTCAGTCACTCACACTGAAAAATGTTGATCTTATTGACAGCATGAAGTCACTGTGGTTTATCACTACATGTATATTACACAATTAACCTTAACTCGATCGACTCCATTTATAACTGTTACCTTATAGTCTCGATATACTATCGATTAATGTAAAATTGAATATCCGCTTCTATCGCACTACGGTTAATTCAATGATTTTAGATGGTCACCAGGTCGACGAAACCTTACTGCATACTGGTATATACACTTACTAACGATATTGTTTGTTGCTCTATCAGACAAATTACAAACCTATACCTTAAAGGTTGAAGCCGGGTGGTCTAGATCGTCCGCCCGGAGAGCGGAAGGTTGTTTGTTCGATACCCTGGCCGCACCCTGGGTACCCTGCCTGGGGGTAAAACGGGGAATGACCGGCTCAGAGTATGCAGTCCCTGAGTGGTGTGTCCATGTAGTGAGTGAGTTTGGTTTAACGCCGCTTTTAACAGTATTCCAGTTATATCGCGGCGTGTCAGCTTAATGCTGGAGGAGATGCCCGATGCGATGCAGATCTCAGACGTTTACCACTTCGGTGAAACCCACGAGCACGGGTATGGTGCTGACAAACCTAGAAACATAATCGGGGCGAACTGGGATTCGAACCCATAATCATAGGTTTCCGGCGTACCCAAGGGACGCAACTCTGCACAGCGAATCGCGGCGCCTTAGACGACTGGGCCACCCGTGCCCCCCAGTTATACGGGATGAGATGAAGCCGAGATTATGTGAAATCGGGTTTAATGTTTCGTTCAAGATTATTGCGTTTATATAGCGACGGACATGCACGTGTGTTTGTGCATGCTTGTGCTAGTCCGTACATATGCCGGTTTTATAGTGCTAGCCCACTGAGATATCATGGATACTCCGAACCGACCAGCCCTTGTTTTATTCCATTAATGCCGAGCGTCAGGCAGAGTAATAACATTACCATCTTTTAGCGTCTTCTGGTGACGTTCAACAGGTCAGGGTATCGAACAACCGACCTTCCGCTCTCTGGGCAGACGCTCTATCCACTTGGTTATGGAGGAGGTCACAATAATATGAACTATGGTTAGGTAATTTGACTTGGTAAAGCACTGCATGACATTTCCGTTGTTATGGTTACCGGATATATTTGTGTTCGATATATCAGTCGTTTTTGCCATCGTTGCGTGGCGGCCAGTGCTTAAGGACGCTGAAGTTCCTTGCTTCAGTGTTGTCAGCACAATGACCGTGCTCATTGGTTTTACCAAAGAGATAAACGATCAGGTTCATGCACTTAATATATGCCGAACTTCCTCACATACCGTTTAGCCAATCTCACACGCCTACTAAAGGTGGAGGCGAGATGTAAACAATTTGAACTTCCAAACGAGCAATACATTTCATCACGAAGGGTCCTAAATCAAGGTTATTGTAATTGACGTTCATAAATGATCATTCATAAATGATGATATATTGTTATTGATGTGATACATCATTACGACAATTGACTCTGTTTGTTTTCAAAATAGTTCGGTGTTTGGATTATTCTTAAAAATTATATCAATTAAGTTCACGCCATTGCGATTATACTGTTTTCCATTGCCCTTAGTCAATGTTCGTTGAAGTGTTGCCAATGTAATCATTAACTTCTCTTAATACTGCGAACCATTGTTTAAAATGATCGCTAAGCAAATGTCAATTTGACCAGGGCTAAGGGGCCGACTATTGATAATTGTGGTAGGGTGTGGTGTGGGGTATGGTTGAATTTTTAGGGTACTGTTTAAAAACATATATACTTCCCAAAGGTCAGGGAAGCATATTGTCAGATTTGTTCTCAAGTAGTATGGCGTGAAGCACGTATGTGCTTTTGTATGTGTTCGCGGTTTTAATATAGTCCACTCTGGTTAAACCAAACTCTGTTATATCGAAATATCAATTCTCCCAGATCCAAGTCAATCCCGATCGCCACCCCAAGTGATATGGAACCTGTTTTGTGTTTTGTGGGCTCCAAGCATGAGTGAATGTTATCTTACCATTAAGGAAGCATCTAATTTAATATGGACAGATGGAAGTAAATAATCTCAAGTCGCATCCTTTAGTATGACCTTTTTTTCCAACAGTCGAAGGGAAGAATTAAGATTAATGCCCATTCTACAACCACCGTCCGAGCCAACGCATTAATCTCTTGGCTACCTCACAGTGCCACTGAAGGACCAGTGGCTCGGGTCCGCCTCCGTTGTCTGGTGGTAGAGCATCCGCCCGGCTTGATCCCCGGTGGCGTCATACCGAAAGACGTTAAAACATTAAGGGGCTAAAACAAGGGCTGGTCAGCTCGGAGTTAGTACACTGTGTCTGAGTGGGGTATTCATGTTAAACTGCGACATGGTATCTCAGTGGGCTAGCACTGCAAAATCGGTATCAGTCCGGACTAGTACAAGCAGCCACACACACACACACACACACACACACACACACACACACACACACACACACACACACACACAGTGCGTGCACGTCGCGAAATAAGTGCACTAATCTTGGACGCGACGTTAACCCAATTTCATCTCACCTCACCAATGGCTCGGGGTATACGTCCATCAGATAACGGAGGATATAGGGTCATCTGCCCTTAACGAATCAACCAAAGCCTTGGCAACAAACTCCAACCCACTTTACAGGAGAGAAAAATATATGAACGAGTAGACTATTCTTCATATTGCCTCTTTAGGCGGTCCTCGAAAATATAGAAACGTTTTTGTTTGACAATCGCAAAATGAGTCATCGCCCGGCAGGTGATTGCCACTTAGAGTTATTTATATGAATTATTAACGACATCGCACTGTATAATGTCGCGTTGCTAAGGACCGGTCGTAAACGAACAAAACAATGCCAATCAAACTGAAGCATAAATGATATTTCTCCATAAACCAAATCACCCGATCACCATGTTCTCTATAGAATAGCATCAGTCACTACTGACATATAACAAACACTCATGATATCATTTTCAGTTAATGGTAATGTATGATTTCATTAAACTATTCAATGACCTCACTATGGATGGCCTCACCAACGTCATCAAACATTGTACGGCGTCAACTGCTTCAAACGTTTTGGAAAATTATCATTCTTGGTTCTAACTAGTGTTTATTTCGCACATATAGTTTAGTACACGTCTATAGATATCGGTTTGCATAATTCAACGAAATTAACTGATAAACTGTAAATATGATTACTGAACGAAATAACGGAACAGCTCCCTAGGAAGGCTCAACTTTCTTTTCTATCCAACGGTCACATGAGATTGTTTGTCAGTGTAGTGTTCAGGCCAGATGCTTCGCACTTAACTAAACTGCCGGACAAAAGAAAGTATACATATATGTTTGATAGAGGCTAAAATGTAACAAACTAAAAATAGTTATTCCATGATGATGTATTCGATACGGGTATCAAAGGCGATATTACATGCCTCATAGCTATGAGCATCTCACAACAGTGGACGTGCATGGAGGTCGCAATTACACACTACAAACAAATTAATTGTGATTTTTTAAGGGTATACTTTCTTTTGCCAGGCAGTTTATCTTCAAAAAACTAATGGGCGTTTGGGTAGCCTATTTGTTGTACGAATTCGATTCCCAAAAATATGTGAAGTCCATTTCCGGTGTCCCCCATCCCATCCACTTTCTCTCACTCACTCACTCACTCTACCACGCACTTACTATTTCATCAGGAGGATTATCGCAGGTTGTCCGTTGCCTAAAATAGCACATTAACATTATTGCAGAGTTACGCCCCTTTAACCGTACTAGGATACGCCTAGAATCAAACAATTTGCCCTAGTAATGACCCTTCCCTGCACCATACGTACCCTATTACTAGTTAATGTTAACGACCTCTGCGTGCTTGGGATTTTGTACGAGTTGCAATGTACAAGAAGTACTCTCCCGCGAGAATTCCGGGTAGGATTATAGCAATTCCAAGAAATCTGTGCTTTTGCAGGAGACGTCTGAATGGATCAGGCGGCCAGGCTGGGTAACTTGGTTGATTGCATGTTATCGTATCCTAATTAAGTGGATGGATGCTGATGTCAAACTCAGACTCCATTATTAACAGACAGCCGTCTTATATTTGGAATATTGTGTGGCGTTAAACAACAAACAAACACACGAATCCAAAGTAAACTACGGTTATAACGAACTCGAAGAGACCACTAATTTTAGTTCGTTATAACCGGCGTTGGTAATGAGCATATATACAGCATATACAGCATATATACAGCATATATACAGCAAATGGACGGTAGCAAAATTAAAGAGTTCGTTTTAACCCTCAATTCGTTATAAGTGTGTTCGTTATAAACGTAGTTTACTATACTCACTGGCAGTTTCACAGTAAACAATAATGAAGTCTGAATTTTCATGTGTATGTTTTTTTCTTTTGTCCGGCTGTTTATCTTAATTCAATAATGGGTGGTTGGGTAGCCTTCTTGTTAAGTTAGTTCCATTTCCAACAATAGATGAAGCCTATTTCTGGTGTCATCCTCCGTGATATTGCTGGACTGATTGTAACGGCGGCGTAACACCTCACTCACTCACTCACTCACTCACCGACTCACTCACTCACTCACTTCGCCCTAACCATGTCTCTAGGTTTCTCAGCACTATACCCGTGCTCATGGGTTTCACCAAAGTGGTAAACGTCTTAGACCTGCTTTCCTCCCAAAGTATGCTTGCACGCCGTGATATAACTGGAATACGGTAAAAAGCAGCGGTAAACCCAACTCACTCAATCACTCACTAATATTTCAATACAGACAAAAAAAAAACAGTTTCACATACAAAATGTTTATTTCTTGTTGGGGACTGAATAAATGCGACATTTGTTATTTACATTTCAGCCATGTTGACTTTATACACAGTCCCCTTCCATCGGTGATGGTTCCACTGTTGCCATGGGTAAATACATTAACATATTCTTGCACAAACAAACTATTGTCGAGACACAACTGACATGCGAAATAGTGTATAGTGAGAAATTAATCTGTTCCGAGTCTCTTATCAATTAATGAAATATCAGGAGAGTTGTTTAACCGTGGTGTGCAATGAGTACAAATTCTGCCCCAGGATAAGCTTGTATTTACTCGCAGAGAGCGTGACGTCGTTGCCTGATGGAACTATGGCCCCTCGCTATAACATTCACATCAGTCCTTCTCCGCTGAGCTCACTCACACTGACAAGTCCATCACCTGGAACGAAGAGCAGAACAGTCAAACCACAACAATAGAGACCCAAGAGATATCCTGGTATATGTCTCTGCAAATCCCAAGATCTCGCGATATTGATGCGTGTATCTGGCACAATGGTAACGAAATATTCATTAAAACTAGTTACTCAAACATAACGAGGTGTAGTTGTCATGTATACTGGGGTGGGGGGGGGGTGGGGGGGTGGGGTGGTGGTGGTGGTGGGGGGGGTGGTGGTGGTGGGGGGGGGGGGGGGGCAAAAAAAAATATACCGAGTTTGTTTTTATTCAACTGAATAAGAATCTCTCATTTATGCGACAGTTTGCAAAAAGTGATCTTATTCAGACACAGATTTAAGATCTTCATTAAAATCTCGAACGGATTCTTACTATGTTTCCAGTGTGTGAATCAGACATTAAATATATTCCCTGATTATACATATTCCCTGTAACATATATAAGAAAAACAACTTCACAATTTACAGTAAAGATTATTTCTAAATAATACTGGATATAGATGGTCGTAAATAATATATTATATATTATGACACTATATTATGGTACATGGTCTTTCATCCTATTAGTATTCTTATTACTATTAGCATAAGTGTTAAAACCTGCGGTAAACCAAAATATAATCGAAAAAATACTTTCTATAATCATAAGAAATATCTCCTATGTGCCATTTTAAGATTCTGACTATATAGTGAATCACTATCAATTAGTGATTATACCAAGTGTTCGCGAAAAGGTGGCACCGTCACAAACGCATGCAAAGGAAAGTCAAAAGTTCGCTTGAACAAAATGAAGAAAAAACATGGCAACATATGATGGTACAAGTCAAAATAAGGAACTGCATCAGAGATTAGTTTTGTCACCGATGCGTCAAATTTGGAAAGTTTTGTACATAATCGTATATAGCTCTTTGGAATGTTCGTAGACACAGCATGCTCATGATCAATTGTACTTTAGAAGTTGCAAAATGTAGACGCCAAAAACTGGAGCTGCTTCAATATTACTTGACATAAAGGGAAAGTTGACTGACTATTAGAAAGTAAAATATAAGCGGCAAATCTTTATTAAAAGCAGAGTCCACTGTGCGATTCTGACTATATCATGAGCATGTGTTGATGAATCACTATCAAATAGTGATGACACTAGGTGTTCGCGAAAAGATGAGCGTATCCTGCCCCATCACATCTTCCCGAGGCAGGGGAGTTAACTGACTATATAAAAGTCCAGTTTCCACCCTTGCCGAACTAGTCTGGAATTCCGGTGTTACATTTTGGCTGGACAAACGAGTCTATGCATAGTCCAATCAAAATCGAGTAAAGAATTGTGACATAACTCGTAATAGCCTTTGGTGAAGCTACCACCGAGCAACGAAATTCCAGACTAGTTCAGCAAGGGTGGAAACTGGACTTCTATAGTCAGTTAACTCCCTTGCATCAGGATGATGACCCCATCAAGCCAGTTCCCTCTTGTAATACAGTCTCGTGGAGAGTTTTTTGTCACACTGGAAGGGAATTATCTATACTGACGATCATTAAACGATAACAGATCAAGGATATACCTGAAGCTAATTATAAACTTCTTTCCCAAATTCCCTTGCCCAATCCGCGCGGAAATACCAATGCATATGCACACAAAAACTGTTCAGCAAGAAGGTGAGCACAATTGGTGCCCATGGGGATGCCTACTTCTTTCCTAAACGTCCTATCACCTAATTTCCTAATGGCGTCATCTATGAGGAAGTCCAGCATTTCAGATTGTTTTCTCAGCAAACTCTAGATGTTTAACTCTCGAGTTTAACAAATTGTTCTGAAACTCCCCCATCATTCTTCCACTTTTCTCATTTCTATCACTGTAAAATACATAGGACAGTTTTCGCCTAATAATAAGAAGGGAGGAAGGAAGGAAGTTGCGACAATAAATGAAATGTTAAAACCTGCCCTAACTTCAGCTTCAGACACAACCTTGTTGTGTTATAACTCCAAAAAACACACTAGTACATCAATGAAATGCATAAAGAAACGTTTACTGCACAGAAATACAAAGACTAATTTAACACAAGCATCACTCAGAATTAAGTGTTCAGCGGTCCCTTTGACCGCGCTACGAACAGTAACGGGAACGTGGAATCCATTACGTTTTCCCCATAAGTGTAGCAATACATGTTACCCGAGTCGCAGATCGCATTACATCCAGGACAGTGTGAACACCTACATGCTTAATATGGTTTAAAATAAGTTAGTAACAAAATCGTTATCCCAGTGTTTACCCAGCCTGTTAATTCTGAAACTTAGTGTTTGTTTTGAATTCAAACTTAAAAGGCTTTTCCTTTGGACAAAAGTCTTTCATTGGCATTTCACTTGACCTTTCTCAGGGGTAGTCACCTAAATAGTTTAATACACCTTCTGAAAACGCAGAGGACACAACTGAAACTGCTTGTCATTGCTATCAATGTTTCCGATATGGCACCGTAATGCTATTATCAAGGGGGAAATTGATTATTGTGGTGAATCAAAACCTGAACGTCAAACAATTATGGATGGCCTGTTCTGTCTCGTTCATGTATTTTCTGGCAATGAAAATAATCTATGAGATCCATAATTCGTTTATTGCCGTTAGTTCCGCGTGGAATATTTGATCAACGTGACCACGTATCAAGTGCCTAAGGTTTTTATTTGACAAAAGAAATATTAAAGGGAAGGCTATAGCGAAAATGGAGTTCATGATTTACTATGGGTCTATGTAAGAAAAGGGTACTCGATTTGGTTTCCGAGGTGAACGTGTTCTTTAATTTCTTTAAAGAGGTACTGTGAATTCACAGTATATCTTTTTCTGCAGAGCTATTCAAAGCTATATTGAAATCATGCTTCTTTTTCGTTATGTCTTTCTATATATCAGTCAAGGTACGTTTTTAGGGGAAAGGGTGGCACGGGTGGTCCAGTCGCCTAAGGCGCCGCAATTCGCTGTGCAGAGTTGCGTCCCTTGGGCACGCCAGAAACCTATGATTATGGGTTCGAATCCCGGTTCGCCCCGATTATGTTTCTAGGTTTGTCAGCACCATACCCGTGCTCGTGGGTTTCGCCGAAGTGGTAAACGCCTAAGACCTGCATCACTTCGGGCTTTCCTCCCACATTAAGCTGACACGCCGCGATATAACTGGAATACTGTTAAAAGCGGCGTTAAACCCAACTCACTCACTCACTCACTCACTTTTTGGGATAGATTACCCTGGGCTAATAAGCCTCATCATTGTAGAAGAAACTTTATCGAAAGCCTTTTTTCATCTAAGGAGGTTAAAGGGATATAACACGTCAACGCCAGATAATATCCAGTCACGATTTTCAGCCGAAACAAACTAGAAAGGCAAAGTAGAGATAAAAGGTATTTGAACGGAAAGTCAGTGATGACACCAGCTGTTTCGAAAATAGTAAGCATGTCCTGCCCTGCTGTTGCATCCGCCAGTCACTCAATTTCCATAAAAAAGTAAGGGTTTGTTTTTTGCCTGACGCCGCACAACAGTTCTCCTGCCATGCGACGGCGGTCTGTAAATAAAGCAGACAATCAAGTGATGGGCCAGACAACTTCAGTGACAATACAGTGCATTAACTGATCATAGGACGTTATGTGGCTTTAACTCGTTTGCTCCTTAGCAGGAACCATTGACGCAACGCTATGAATGTAAGGAGAACAAATTGGACGTTAACTCGTTTGCTATTACAGGAGAAGCCATTGACTAAACCGCAGAGAAGGTTAAGAGAACTTATTAGACGTTAACTCGTTTTTTTATTACAGGAGGAAATATTGACTACACCGCAGAGAAAATAGACATGAAAGTTTCAGCTTACCATTTGTATCAATGAAGTTCCGAACAAACCTCTGTGCCAAGTTTGGCTGTGAAGAAATCATAGCTGCCAAATCCTCCACCGTTGTTAGTGCCCTTTAAGTAGAACGTGATTAAGATCACTGTACATAGAGATGTAACAATTATTTAAAAACTAGTTCCCACTATTTTTATCGGCGGGAAAGGCACCGGCTATTTAATTTTCTGCCCCAATTGCAAATCCTCATCGAATGCCGTTTAAACCTTATTTAAATTATCTTCAGAACATTTATATATATATGTCAATGTACATAAAAGTGCATTACAAATAGTTCTAAACCTTTTTTGTAGGGACGGAGACCGTTTAACTGCAAATCTTCTTCAAACTCCCATCTAAACTTGGCTCCAACGTACGATAATACATTAGATTAAATCTCACCTTTCATATCCTCCATTTGAATCCCTTTTTCCATACCCAACTGACATTCTGTCTAAGACGGACCGCAGCGACCTGGAAGGAATTCTCTTTCCATAGTTTAAAGGCATTCGGTCGAGTGTAGAACTTCTCTTTTCTCTATCAGCATCTGTTCCTAACTCCTCGTTCGAATCAACAAGGGAGATAACAGTGGCGATCGTGAGGGCAAGTATGATCTTCATAGCTTCAATACCTCTGCCTGAAAGAATGAGACAATATGTTTTTGATCAATAATACTCTTCGGCGTCTGGGATTTAGCGCGTAGGCAAATGATCTACCAATATAAGATTAGACGTTATCATAAAAACAAAGGAATACAAGTGGGCAGCGTGTATAATTAAGGAACCTTTGAAAGGATGGCTTTTATTTTGTAAAATGATACTTGCTCAGTTATTGGTTCATGAAGCTGAAAATTGAATATCATAGTGTTCCGTTTCATGTTTAACACGCATCAGTATCTAATAACAGAAAATAGAATAATGAGTGTGAGTATGTGTTCTTTGGGAATTAATACGTAATATTGTTTTCGAGTAAATGCCCTTACGTGTAGGTATTTCGTTTCTTGAAAGATTATTTATGGAGTGGTGTGATCATTTTTTTAATCCGATTCCGTTATACAGCTCACGAAACAAGATACGTTCGTGTTTTGCCATCGCACTATGCGTTCTTGACTTCAAAAAGTGGCATGCATTGTAGGTAAATGAGGTAACGAGCGTAGTTCTCATCTTGTGTTACTCTAGACGTACAAAAAAGCATCGTTAACGCCAAACTGATAAAAGAGTTGAGGATGGACTTGGTATTTTTCAGCGGATCCTGGTTATACGAGTTAGGTCTCCCTACACAACCGAGTCACCTTGGTTCATATGATCTGGCTACGTGACCTGTGGCTCTTTAAACCGCCGTCACCCGAGTTCACCTGATCGGCGAATTCAGGCTTCGTGATCTGTGGCTCTTTAAACCGCCGAGTTACTCGACTCCACCTGACCAGCGGATCCTGGCAACGTGAACTGTGGCTCTTTAAACCGCCGAGTTACTCGAGTCCACCTGACCAGTGGATCCTGGAAACGTGATCTGTGGCTCTTGAAACCGCCGCCACCCGAGTTCACCTAATCGGCAAATTCAGGCTTAGTGATCTGTGGCTCTTTAAACCGCCGAGTTACTCGACTCCACCTGACCAGCGGATCCTGGCAACGAGAACTGTGGCTCTTTAAACCGCCGAGTTACTCGAGTCCACCTGACCAGCGGATCCTGGAAACGTGAACTCTGGTTCTTGAAACCGCCGTCACCCGAGTTCACCTGATCGGCAAATTCAGGCTTAGTGATCTGTGGCTCTTTAAACCGCCGAGTTACTCGACTCCACCTGACCAGCGGATCCTGGCAACGAGAACTGTGGCTCTTTAAACCGCCGAGTTACTCGACTCCACCTGACCAGCGGATCCTGGCAACGAGAACTGTGGCTCTTTAAACCGCCGAGTTACTCGACTCCACCTGACCAGCGGATCCTGGAAACGTGAACTGTGGCTCTTGAAACCGCCGTCACCCGAGTTCACCTGATCGGCAAATTCAGGCTTAGTGATCTGTGGCTCTTTAAACCGCCGAGTTACTCGAGTCCACCTGACCAGCGGATCCTGGCAACGTAATCAATGACTCTATAGACCGCCGAGTTACTCGAGTCCACTTGACCAGCGGATCCTTGCAACGTGATCTATGGCTCTTTAAACCGTCGAGTCATGCTGGTCCACCTGACCAGCGGATCCTGCCTAAATGAGTCAACCAGGTCCACCTGGGCGGGTCCTGACTTATTATTGTTTGCATGTTGTGAAATGATATCTAATGATGGTCACCAAAAGCACGCCAGTACTCTAGCACAACACCGACGCCTTCTACATCGAGCACATCTATTGATTTTACGGCAGACTCTTTTAGATCGGTCCTCACACTGACAACGGACTAAAATCTTCCAAAAACTACAAGAATCCATTGACATCAGGAGAACCGTGACCAGGGAACCTATCTGCCTAGTGCTTGGGACTTATTGCTTTGATCTTTGTCGGTGCTATTTACCTAGCTGGATTCAGTTTGCCCTTTGCTATGTCCATTCTTTCACCAATCAGTGCTAATTACCCCCAGTTTGCCCTTTGCTATGTCCATTCTTTCACCAATCAGTGCTAGTTACCCCCAGTTTGCCCTTTGTTATGTCCATTCTTTCACCAATCAGTGCTAATTACCCCCAGTTTGCCCTTTGCTATGTCCATTCTTTCACCAATCAGTGCTAGTTACCCCCAGTTTGCCCTTTGCTATGTCCATTCTTTCACCAATCAGTGCTAGTTACCCCCAGTTTGCCCTTTGTTATGTCCATTCTTTCACCAATCAGTGCTAATTACCCCCGGCTTCCCGTTTGCCTAGTGTCCATTACCTATTAGTTATCTACGATATCTTAAGTACTGGCTTCCATACCTTCAGCGCTAATTACTCTAAAGTGTTGGCTTCCATTGTCTATTGCTAATCACCTATCAGCGCCAATCATATGTTGGCTTCCCTTGTTAGTTTCTACACTTTGTTATTTTCCAACTTTTGTTATCTTATTAATTTTGTTGTCCTTGCATGTACATATATACTGAACCGCAAAAGAAAGGTCACACCAAGTATCATTGCATGAAAACTTGTCATCTAAATATCTGGGTATTTTTTGTCAAAGTTTCTCAAATTTAACATTACCTTGACCGGAAAAATGAAATTTGATGATAGAAAAACCAAAGCAGATGACAATAAAATCGATCGCCCAAATGCATCACGACAACGGCCATGGTAAACCCGATGCACGTGAGTTCCGTGCAAATTGAAATGCACATGCGTTCCCCCATTTCTTGCCCTATAAAAATCCACCTAGATCGGATTACATTCATTCGTTATTGAATTGCTACCACATGCCAAGATTGACAAGAAATCAGCGACACCAAGCCCTTGGACGATTGCAAGCTGGGCAAACCGCCCGGCAAGTAGCCAAAGAATTTCAAGTCCACGTAAGGACCATATGCAGGCTCCAGCAACGGTACCAGACCACCGACACTACAGATGACCGACCACGTAGTTGAAGACCAAGGGTCACAACCCGACGCCAGGATCGTCAGATTGTGCGACAGCATCTTCAAGATCGCTTTGTTACTGCTTTGGAAACTGTTCGACAGACCATGGGGACACACCAGCGACACATTAGTGCGGACACCGTGCGTCGACGATTGACAAGCAGACACCTCCACTGTCACAGGCCACACCGAGGACCCATTCTGACACCACGTCATCGCCGGGACCGTCTTCAGTGGGCAACACAGCACCAGCAGTGGAGAAGAGTCCTCTTCTCAGACGAGAGCCGTTACTGTATCTCAACAGCAGATGGCAGAGAGAGAGTCTGGTGACGCCGTGGGGAACGTTATTCGGATGATTTTGTCGTTGAGAGAGACTCGTGGGGTGGTCCGAGCATCATGCTGTGGGATGGAATATTGGTCTTGCACAGAGGGTCGGCCCTGTGGTCTTCCAGAACATCCGTCAAGAGAGAGGCAATGGTACCACAGCAGCTCGGTGCATTGACCAAGTCTTGAGACCACACGCCATACTTCATTTGGCACGTCGACGCAACCACGAGTTTCAGCGTGATAACGCCCGTGCCCACACTGCGAGAGCACAAAGAGACTTCCTCCAGCAGAATAGCATCAGAACCATGCAGTGGTCTGCCCTCAGTCCTGATTTACATCCCATTGAGCACCTGTGGGACGAGATTCAAAAACGGCTGAATGACGTCCGACAAAGGCCGACAACTGCAGCTGAACTGCGTCAGGCGTTCCTAAGAGTGTGGGCTAAAGTGTCTATGGCCTTCATCAACCGCCTCATCCATTCCATGTTTCGACGTTGCACGGCAGTCATCAATGCACATGGCGGACACACGAGATATTAGCTTGTGATGCAATTTTCTCAGACTAGTGTTGTGTTTCACTTTAAGAACATTTGACACTTTAATTTCAACCTTGATGATCAGTTTTGCCAAGTTTCATCGTTTTAATATGTCTCAAAGTATGTTTACAGTGTTAGGAGAAATAAGGTTTCTCATATATCTATCCATGGTGACGTTTCTTTTGCGGTTCAGTATATATGCTCTCTGCCTCATGGCATGCATTCACCTGATGAATGAGTAAGCATATACTCCGAAACGTTGTGTTCCGCATAATAAAGAAGTTGACATCCATATATTCTCTTCCTTAAAATCACTTTATTAGTTCACAATTAATCAACCACAAATATTCTTTGAAGTGAAATGTAAGTTAAACTAATGACAAAACACATTAAGTAATAACATGTAATCTGGCATCCAAAGAGCCAACTTTACAAAACTTCAATCAATTTATAGGATAAGATGTTGATAAAAATATTGATAAAATTTGTGAAACTTAATACGCGCGGTGTTCCGATTTATTTATGAGCTTGAGCAAGACTGTGATTGGTGAAAAACACAAATTAACTGGATCAGCTACTTTTTTATCTGAAAAGGCATCTTCTTTCGTTATTAACACTTCATTTGTTGCAAATTTACGCTTCCATCGTCTCGTGCCAAAAATAGCTGACAGCATTTTTCCGTCCTTTTGAAAAGCTTCCGACGCCTTAACTGGATGTATAATGAAGCTGTCCCCCCTGTATGGTAGCGTGTGTGGGTGTTGTCAGTGACGTTGCAGTTGGGGTTGGTCAATGATGGTCATTTGATAAATCAAGGGGGAGTGGCATGCGGATGGTTATTTATTTTGATACACTGGGGCAGTTGTATGTAAGTATTTTGATAAATTAAGGGACAGTATTATTTGGATGGTAGTAATTAAAGGGCACGGGTGGTCAATTCGTCTAAACCCTATGAAAGGTTGCATCCCTAAGGCGTGCACAAAACCTCCGATCCTGGGTTCGAATCCCAGTTTGGCCCTGATTTAAAATGTTTCTAGGTGTATCAACATTGTCAGGAAATTCGGAGTGAAACGGCTGTGGGTATGGTGCTGACAAACCCAAGAACATCATCAGTTCAAATCGTAGATTCGAACCCATGAACATTCATGTAGGATTCTGGCACGACTAAGGCAAGATTCCTAAACGTCGGGTATCATAATGAATAACGTCTTTCTTTACGACGGGGGGCGGTCGGGTAGCCTAGTGTTTAAAGCG